CAACCAACACCTTAGTAAGCTTAGGGGGTCAGTGTTTCCCACTCATTTCATTATTTGAGTTTTAATGAAAAGAAATCAAAATGTGCATGGAAGATCCAGTACCAACAGTGAATTTTGATTGCTCTTTTCCACTTTTCAGGAAAAGAAATACATTAAACAAAATAGAGTCACATACTCCAAGCTCCTGTTTACTAATAAAGGAAAATACTTCCTATGTTAAAAATTTCAAGTCAGAGAAGATGTAAGATCTCCAAATCAGCTAATATTATACAAAACAGCCAGAAAATTATTGCCCTAGAGATGGCATTGGACATAATTTTGGCTATCATCCAGTGTCTTCATCTCTTAATGGGAGCCAAGCCTATCTGAGTGTTCTAGTCCTCTAACATAACTTCTTTCTCTCTTTGTAGATTATTGTTTTGACCTGTGGCCAGTCTTTTTTACCAACCCTTGCTAACCACTTACCAAAAATGGAACATAGTAACACTGAATGAATGGCACATAGTAACATTGAGGTTTATATAATGTATAGTTGGTGGTGGAGCTTGAACTCGGGGACTGGGCACTGTCCCTGAGCTCTTCCGCTCAAGGTGAGTGCTCTACCACGTGAGCCACAATGCCACTTCCATTTTCTAGTGGTTAATTGGAGATAAGAGTCTCACAGACTTTTCTGCCCTGGCTGGCTTTGAACCACAATCCTCAGATCTCAGCCTCCTGAGTAACTATGTTACAGGCAAGATTATATATTTTTGGAGTAAAGAAGAAAGGGCCATTTAAAAACTTATGGTCTTGATTCTCCCCCTCCAGACACCTCTTCTCATATACTTTTTAAGACTGGCTGATTATTCTAGAAACCTAAGAGAGGAAATCTCTATGTAAGTGCAAATGGTTCTACCCTGCGCCCTTTCCTTTTCTAGCTGTAGACACTGCGACATTCTGGAGTGGGTGGGGGTATATATGTTCTCCCAACCAAAGGCAAGGTTCTGAGCTCCAAGGAATTGAAGAATTTGGCATTTCAGGTAATCCCACATTCTGATTAGTTGAAAACTGCTATTTATTTTAAATAGTCAGGTAACAAACAAGGTAGTAATTAGGAAGATAAGCACCCCAAAATTTAATAACAAACTAATTCACCTTTTCTTAAACAGCTGATATTTTTGTTTATATGTATCATGACTAACAGTAATGGCTATAATTCATCACATTAGGAAAGTAATCAACAGTTCTAGCTGTACCAAATTAAAATTGATTGAGACCCTATGTGGCCCTGGCAGAGCTAATAATTACATCATTATTGTATAGCCAATAGCCAAAACTCATTTTTGATTCTTTCAGTTTATGAAAAGTGTAATATAGACCAACTAAGCAAAATAGATTAGAACAAAATAAGATGTATGTATGTGCCTCTATTTTATAGAAGTCACTCACACATTTGTCTGCCAATGATAGAATATTGCTTCAACCTGGGTAGTGACAGGGGTGCAATGCATATTTTACCCACTTTATCCTTACCAGGTCCATGAAGGCATGTTGGTGACAGCCTCATAGATAAATAAATGAGTATCACAGGGATGAAGTGACCAATCTAGGACAACAGAACCATAGCCAAGACTCAAATCCAGTACTGTTTCAAATGGATGTCCAGTGTGTCCTTTGTTCTCAGTGAGCAAGCACTTTATCTAATAAGACTTTATGAATATAGAAAATATCACTCATGGCTGGAAACATGGCTTAGTGGTAGATTGCTTGCCTAGCATGCATAAAGCCTTGGGTTCAATTCCTCAGTACCACATAAATAGAAAAAGCTGGAAGTGGTACTGTGGCTCAAGTGGTAGAGAGGTTCAAGGACAATGCCCAGGCCCTGAGTTCAAGCTCCAGGACCAGCAAAAAAAAAAGAAAAGAAAAGAAAAAGAAAACATCACTCATAGATATATGTTTAGACATTTGAAAATACTAAAACTCAGCAATCACATGCTAGATTTTGTTATCAGGAATGCTGGGAGGTATGTGGGGTCTTAGAGGATGTTCTTGGAGCCACAGCCAACTCTTAGCCCACCAAATGTTCCCAACATTCAGCCAGGGACAGAGAAGAAGGAAGGAAATAAAGATTCATTAGCCTTAATAATGTCCTCAATATGAACCCTGATGTCATTTATCTCCACCTTCCAGGAAAATTGAGGTGACAGCATAGACAAGTGACAAATGCCATTATTTAAACCTGTGAAGGTAACAGCAAATGTCACCAAAAAAGATTTTTGTTACACAATGTACTAGTTAAAGTTCTCTCTTGCTAGGATGGCCAGCATGAGGTAGCATGAAGGTTAGGACACTCACATGTGAGGTTAGATGGAGCCAAACTCTGTTCTGATTGTGCAGAAGTTACATTGCATACCTTCAAAAGAGCATTTTTCCCAATAAATGACGAGTCAATCAGCGGCCCCTGACTCTAGAATGCACTGATATGCTTAGCTGGCTTGAGACTGTGTGTTAGAGTCTACACAGTAGCCAGAAGCAAGACCCGTACATTCAGTTATACAGTTCAGCTGAGCTAACATAAAGGAAGTACAAAAAAAAAACCTTTCTTCAAAAGTGTCCCTGAAGTGTCTTTTCTTTTTTTTTTTTTTGGCAAAAGAAGCTTTGAACTTTGTTATTATAAAGCTGATTGCTGTTTTCTTCTCTCTTCCCATCAACCTGGTTCTACTTTTATGGCAGAGAAAATAAGCTATCTCATGATTGCTTTGGTCTGATCCAACCTTTCTGACACTGCTGAGCTTCAGAAAGGGGCCAAATAATAGACAAGATGACAAGGTGAATTGTCCATTTAAATAGGGTCCTGTCACCATAAAAGCATGAGCTTGAGCAAAGTGTCCCCTACCCTCACTTCCGTCCCTCTTCTGCCTGAGCCCTGTATCTGGGGCAGCTTTCAAGATCCCTCAGATTTGAATGGGTGACAGAGGCACTGACTGTAAAATTACAATTCCCATTTTTTGTCATAGTCTTTCCTAACTCTTAGATTTGTTAATAAAAGTCTGAGCTGAGTCAGGCACGTGGCTCACACCTGTAATTCTAGCTACTCAGCTTGAGATCTGAGGATTACAGTATAAAGCCAGCCTAGGCAGGAAAGTCCACGGGACTCTTTTCTCCAATTAACTACCAAAAATCCAGAAGTAGAGCTGTGGCTCAAGTGATAGAATACTATCCTTGAACTAAAAATCTCAGAGACTGTGCCCAGACCTTGAGATCAAGCTCCAGTACTAGAACACACACACACACACACACACACACACACACACACACACACACACACACACACACACACACACACACACACACACACAAGTCAGAGCTGCTTTGCCTTTTGCAATCCCACCCTTATGAATTCTCTGCTAGTAAAAGTATGTAATGACTTATATAGGACAATTAGAAACTTGAATATTTATTATATTTAATACTATTGTCAGATTTCTATTTAGAAGTGAGACTGGCACTGTGATAATATTTGGTTTTCCTAAATGTGGATATCTTCTAGACTTCCACAGTGAAATATTTACAGACTGAATGATATGATGTCTGAGATTTGGTTCAAAATAACACAGGAGGGGTGGGAGAAGGTAGGCAGGCTTTATAATCAGAAAAATACGGCATGAAAAATGAAAGCTAGATTAATCATAGCTCTTTGTAAGATGAAATAGGGCAGTACAACACACAAAAGGCTATGTAATACTATGTTAGACAGACTAGCAAATACCTGAGAGGAACAGTTTGTAAGAGGAAAGGTTTATTCTGGCTTTTGTTTCAGAGGGTTTAGTTCAGGGTTGCTGGATCCCTTTATGGAGCCTGGACCATTGCTGAGGTAGAAAGAATATCATGATGGAAGTGTATGGTGAGGTAGAGTTACTCACCTCATAGCAGCCAGGAAACAGAAAGACACAGATCAGGATGCTCCCATAGACATTCCATTGTCTTATATCTTCCAGCAAGGTCTTATCTCCTAAAGTTTCTAGAACCTCCCAAAGTAGAGCTACTAGTTGGGAATCTAATCTTTGCCATATGAGCCCCTGAGAAAGGTATTTCAGGTAAGTATTGTATACACATTTTTTCTATTTGGGGAGAGGAAGGGAAATAACGAAATGCTGAAACAAGGATACAGGTTGACCCATTGGAACAATGAGATGTACATGACACTATGTAGAAAAATGAACTTTACAACATCGGTATATGGAGGCAGCAATTGGGAGGGAAGGGATAGTGGAGGAAAAACAAAGGAGGATGTAACAATGCTCAATACAAAATATACTTATTACCTTACTCTTGTAATTGTAATCCTTCTGTACAGTATCTTTACAAAAATTTTTTTAAAGAAAAAGAAAAAACAGAGATAAGTCCATGCCTATCATTCTAACTACTCAGGAGGCTGAGATCTGAGGATCTTGATTCAAAGTCAGCTTGGGCAGGAAAGTCTGTAAGACTCTTAACTCCAAATAACCAACAGAAAACCAGAAGTGGCACTATGGCTCAAAATGGTAAAGCACTGGCCTTGAAAAAGAGATCAGGACATGCCCAGACCCTGAGTTCAAGCCCCATAACTAGCAAAAAAAAAAAAAAAAAGTAAAAGATAAGTCCAAAGGATTATGAATTCTCACCAAAAATATATGTGACACTTTTAACAAGATTGATATACAATCTTTTCACAACCAACATTATTGGGGCTGGGAAGGTGACTCAGTGGTAGAGTACTTGCCTTGCATGCATGAGGCCCTGGGTTTGATTCCTTAGCACCACATAAGCAAAAAGAAAAAAGCCAGAAGTGGCGCTGTGGCTCAAGTGGTAGAGCACTAGCCTTGAGCTGAAGAGCTGAGGGACAGCGCCCAAGCCCAGAGTTCAGGCCCCACGACTGGCACCAAAAAAAAACAAAAACAAAAAAAACCATTATGTTGGCATATGTACTTTACATGCACTTGCCTGAATAATCCTGTTTTTCATGTTTTTCCCATCTCCAGGTATATCCATGCCCATTCCAGTCTTTGGTCTGCAAGATGACTCCAAGGTTTTTAAGGAAGGGAGCTGCCTACTTGCAGATGATAACTTTGTCCTGATTGGCTCTTTTGTGGCATTTTTCATCCCCTTAACTATCATGGTGATCACCTACTTTCTAACTATCAAGTCACTCCAGAAAGAAGCTACTCTGTGCGTGAGTGATCTTGGCACACGGGCCAAATTAACTTCTTTCAGCTTCCTCCCCCAGAGTTCTCTGTCTTCAGAAAAGCTCTTTCAGAGGTCAGTCCACAGGGATCCAGGGTCCTATGCAGGCAGGAGGACTATGCAGTCCATCAGCAATGAGCAGAAAGCTTGCAAGGTGCTGGGCATTGTCTTCTTTCTATTTGTGGTTATGTGGTGCCCGTTCTTCATCACGAACATCATGGCAGTCATTTGCAAAGAGTCTTGCAATGAGGATGTCATTGGAGCCTTGCTCAATGTGTTTGTTTGGATTGGATACCTCTCCTCAGCGGTCAACCCACTCGTCTACACATTGTTCAATAAGACATACAGGTCGGCCTTTTCACGGTACATTCAATGTCAGTACAAAGAAAATAAAAAACCACTGCAATTAATCTTAGTGAACACTCTACCTACATTGGCCTACAAGTCCAGTCAACTCCAAGGGGGACAAAAAAAGAATTCCAAGGTAGATGTCAAGACAACAGATAATGACTGCTGTATGACTGCTCTGGGAAAACCACATTCAGAAGATCCTTGTACAGACAATATCGACACAGTGAATGAAAAGGTTAGCTGTGTGTGAAAGCTCAGTTGCCATGGAAACTGAAGTGGGCACTCTGAACAAGTTTTCACCCATCTGGAGTGGGGGTGGGGGAAATATAGGAAGACTGGGAAAAAAATTAAGCCACTCTGGTGGAACTGATAATAATATCTATATGCCTCATTATATTCTGTCATTGAGAAGCAGGGTTCAATGCCACAAAATGTGCCCTTCAAAAATGTGTGACAGCACTTCAGCTGTGAGCTTTATGATACTTTTAACATTGTAAATGATGTCTTTGACATAATTAGCTTTTACTGTGCAATTACAATGAGGTTCTAAGTAACTCTAACGTAACTTCTAGTATCAAATTGATGCCTCGCTGCTATGTTGTTGTTGACTGACAGCATGGGATTGAGTTGGTTACCTACTGCTGTAAATAAAAAAAGAGCTATAATAGTGAACAATGTGTTGAATAAAATGGCTTCTTACATCAAGAAAAATTCTCTTTATAATTCACCGTGACACATATTTTGAAAGGAAAATAGACACTAACAACAGTATTATGAAATCTATATTGCTAAGATAATTAAACACAATACTTGACAACATTTTGCACTTCTGCTTTTTGATAGATGCCATCCTGAACCTGTCATAAGATTGCTGCCACTTGTTGCATTTCAAGTTAATTCTTCTCAGAAGTGAAAAAGATTTTAACTGCTATTTAATAACAATTGCTGCTTTTTCCTTTCCATCTCCTGCTTTACTTTGCCTTTCCAATGGTCTTGTTTCATATTTGTTCTGCTGTAGAAACTAGAAGAGGATAATTCAACATTACCAAATACATTTCTAGATAGCACATCTGAAACCATACCATAAGGATATGCGGCCACTCACTATGGAAGGACTGTCTCATACCTGCACACCCTTGAATAAAACACAGTATGTTTACCTGTGTCAAGGTTGAAGAATAAACTCAGGATTCTGTAGTAGAGTCTTAGGACATCTGTGTAAAAAAAAAATAGGTGAAGTTGATCAACTAATTTATATTATCTATTGAAACTGGTCAGCTTGGTTCTACAATTATCTGTTCAGCACATACCTATGGATGGAAGCATTGTCTAGGTACAAGTGATATAAAAATAAATAAATAAAACACGATTCTTGCTTTTATAGAAAATGACTAAACTCAAATGGTCATTGTCAAAAAAACACAAACAGGTTATTTTGAGAATCAATTCAGTTTTTCTCTTTCTCACATGGTGTAGAAACAGGTTTGTTTCTATTCTGATAGCAATTTTCTCACTTTTTTTGTCAGTTGTGGGGCTTCAACTCTGGGCCTGGGCACTGTTCCTGAGCTCTCCAGCTCAAGGCAATCGCTCTACCACTTGAGCCACAGCACCACTTCTGGTTTTCTGAGTGGTTTATTGGAGATAAGAGTCTCATGGATTTTTCCTGCCCAGGCTGGCTTTGAACCATGTTCCTCAGATCTCACCCTCCTAAGTAGCTAGGATTACAGGTGTGAGCTACTGGTTCCCAGATTCACTAATTTTTTATTGGACACCAACAAATACTAATCAAAGAAGGGAGAGCTATCATTTGAGATCAAACACTGCATTAATCAGAAATACACCTCATCTGGATCCTACCTATGACTATGACTCAAAGTTTTGAGCAAACCATTTGATCCAACTCTTTAAAAATACACTCATTTTAGTATTACTGACATTAAATTCCCCAATAAAAAGGCAAGTAAATGCTACTGAAGTGTGTAAGGGATTATAAGTAGTTGATCTACTTTGATACTCTCAAACTTAAATTGTACATTGTTGTTTGAATAAATATTAGATCCATGTTTACAATAATGAAGGATTTCCATTGAATATGAAGTTTTTTGCCTTATGCCTTTAGAATAAAATTACAGTTTTGAAAATTAAAGAATGCAGAAAGATTATATAACTTGGAAATTCTTTACCATTATCCTAATTATGTCCGTACACATATATTGAAAGAGAGGATTCACCATTTTCAAGCTAGAAGTTATAATATACCATGCCATTTGAACTGAACTCTTGCTTGATAAACATAACAAACTAAATGATGAAAATATAAATTTTTAAAGTCTCTGCTGTAATGTATTTGCCTTAGTTTTAAAACTCCGCACATATCATTATATATTAAAGATTAGACTCTACCCAATGTACTTAGTCTTGATCAGAATGAATATTAAATACTGCCTGACAGATATCTTTTACTATACATATATTACATGTGTATATGTGTTTTTTGCTCTCTGTATCTGTTCAAGTGTATATAAAATAAACATGTATCTGTATATATATACAGACATGTCCCCATGCACTTTATTCAATATTTATATATTTATAAAGAGGAAAAGCAAGTCAATGAAAACACTCAGTATATACTCATGTGTGCATGTTTGTATCATGTCAATTTAAATGTGAATTCATGTCCTAATATTTCCATGACCTCCCAGTGCTGACAAAGGAGGCTAATGTGTAACAGAGGTACGCTCTTTAAATAAACTGGAAGCTGCTCTGATTGTGTGGAATCACTTTAACACAATTCTGTGAGCCTGGTGAAGACAATAGTCCATATATGGATATGGATATATATGGATATATGGATATGTACATATCCATATATGGAGAGAGATATGGATATATATATATATATATATGGAAATAAATGGTAACTTAGGACCCTAAGTGTTTAGGCTGGAGTCTTCCTGATTACTCTGGCTTTTTAAATCTAATTCTCACCCCATTGAATCAGTCTGCAAATAATTTATGGGTCTAGGATGAAAGAATTTACTCTAAGTCAATATTAGTAAAACTGAGTAACAAACCTCACTCTGCTTTAAGTGTTATGATAGATTTTTTTTCAACACATAAGAAAAGGAATTAAATGCCACAATTGAGAAAAACTCAGTTTAAAGCCTAAGTACAAATTCTACTTGGCCACAGCACCATCTCATGGTCATATTTTAAGATGCTATTCTAGCCAAATTGAACTAAGTTACCATACTGCTTTTTAGCAAAGGGTGCTTCTCCCATTTGTGCATCAAGGAAGTATATTTATAAAGTGTTTAATTATTTCTGTGCCATATGTAACAAATACAGTGAAGATTATTTTATGTACTGATTTTGATGGATTCTAAAAACATTTCAAGAATGAATAATTCATTGTAAATAAAGTATCCTCAAAAATGAACAACTTTGTATGAGTCCCTTGATGTGTCTACCAAAAGGAATTGCTCTAAACTTTATAGATCATTAGCCTGGTGAAACTTCAGTAACATTCTGATATTTTGAAAGTAAGAACCCTGTATCTCTGGAATTAGCTAGGAGCCTCCAGATACAATTGACTCTCTGGTCACAATTTAGTTTCCAGCAATCTAAATATGGCAAGTGTTTCATGACTGATCTTTATGTATAGTTGTATGTACAACTCAGAAAAATGAAGAGCCACTGAGGTTCTAAGACATGTACACCAGTGTATAGGTGCACAGGTGCATAGTGTATTCAAACACACTCCTTCCCAGCAACCAAAGGACACATTGCACCATTAAATAAAATAGAAAATTTTCCCTGATTCACCACTTCATCTGTTAGGATAGGCCACTGATATGAAATAGGGATGATAACATGCTCTGTGTATTGAATACCTATTAAGTGCTAGGCATTAAACTGATGGCTTTGCTCACTTTTTTAAAGCACTCTATGCAACAATCCTGTAAGGTAAGCCTAGTCTCCGTTTATTTCAAAGATGAAGAAACACAGCAGTTAATAACATATGCAAAATCACATGGCTGGCAAGAAAAGTGACAGGTTCAAGTCTGGATCATCTCACTTCGGCACATATGTTCTTCTCCCAGACTCATTTGGTACAGGAGAAAGACTACCTTTCAGAAACCAAATATGCAAGTTCCCAGATCAGCTTCTACTCAACAGTCATGAGTCTGTGTCATGAAAACCCTGAACCTTACTACGTTGTCTCTAGAATGGAGGTCCCAGGACCTGGCCTGGCTAATTAACTTAGTAGCTTATGGCTATCACTGTGCTTGATGACCTGCAACATGCCATATGAATGTTATAAATGTCTGGTTATTATTAAAAGGAAAAGAATACCAAGTCCTCCATTAACTACTAGCCATCAGATCAAATTCTAGAGGAAATTCTGGAGTAGGCAGTACTGCTATTCAATAACCTCTACTCTTCTTTCTTAACTTTTTCTCATTAAATGTTTTCTAACTGTGCTGGTACATGCCTATAATCTCAGCTACCTAGGAGGCAAAAATCAAGAGAATTATATTTGAAAGCCACCCCAGGCAAAAAGTAAAGGAGTGACCATCTCAGCAAACAAGCTGTGTGTGGTGGTATTCATTTTCAATGCCAGCCATATGGGAGGGACAGGTGGGAAAATTACCAGCCAGGGCAAAAACACAGACTATCCAAAAAAATAAATGAAATAAAAAGTGTTGGAAGTGTGGCTCAAGTTAACAAAGTACTTACCTAGCAAGTACAAGGCCTGAGTTCAAACCCCAATGCTGAAAACGCCTATTACTACTACTAATATGAACAGCAATCATAGCCCTACCTACCCATCCTCTGTTATGTTTACCACCAGTATTTTCCTGTGAGCTAATACATTATGGAAAGTCTTCCTACCCAACTGGAGCTTCTTTTCATCTGACTGAACTGCAGCAGAAAACAGACATAAGAAACCTAGGTCCAGATTTCTGATTTTGCCTGACTTTGAACACATCCCAGCTTCTCTTCTTTCAAGTGTGGGGTAAAGGATTTAGAGGTTTCAGCAGGAGCCTCTTCTGGGTCCTGATTTTTCTGAATGTTGTAGAGTCCAATAAAGACTTAGACAAACTGAAGTACATCTTAATGCGCAAAGAACATTCTTGAAAGCATAACCTATAATGTCTTAAATTTTCTAGATGAATCTCAAATAACTAACTTTTATGTGGGGAGTCATAAGATCAAACAGATCAAAATGATCTAAGGAAAGTTTTTAAGAAATGAAAGAAAGAGCCAGATATCAAGATCAATTCTTCATGCTGTGAT